GCTACACACAATTAGTATTCCTGACAAAAAAAATGTTTTTTTTATTACGTTTGGCATTAATACTGGCAAGTGGCAAAGATCGACGATGGGAAAATATTCCAGCAAGCTCAACTTGGGTTGCATTGCGAACGAGCGAATGAAATGGAGCAAGTGGTTTTCGATGTTCGCATTCAATAGATGTGCAAAAGTGGCGCACACACTTACGACGACGACGACGACAACAACATCGAACGAATATGGTCAAAGCAAGGACGTAATTGAACCATTTTCGGATGCGTTTTTTCTGTTTTTGCTTTTTCTTCTTCGTTTCGTTGAGTTCGTCGTGTATCATTATTTATTTATTATGCATTGTACGCGCTCTCTCGGTACGCTAGTTGACTGACGCCAGATGTTTGTTTCCTTTTGCAGTGCATAGCGGCAAAACAAAGTGCGCGCACACACAATGAACATTTGCTTTCGTGCGCTTCTTTTCGCTGTTGACGTGTTCGTCTCCAACGACGGATTGTTGCTGTTGCTTTTTAATCGAATTTATGATATTCGATGTGCGCTTGTGGATTTTAGATCACGGACACCGCACCATAAATATTCGACAATGAATCAGCTTTCGTATCGTTCAAGACATGAATGAAATACGAACAAAAAAGAACAACGACGACGATGAAAAATCTAGTCAATTTGAATCGGAATGCAGCAGAATAAATGGTTGGCTTCAGGCGATCGATTATCCGATGCACTCATAGGTTAATTTAATGGTTTCATGTCAAATAGATTGAATGATGCTTTTCACGTGAGATTTATCTAGGCGTTTCACATACACACACGAAAAAAATCTCAGAATTGGGTCACATCTGAGCATCCGTGCATAACGGTAGTGTTGTTGTTGTTGTTATTATTGCACGGATGGCCTTCCAAAGCGCCAAATCATATTCAATTTATGGAGATTTTGTAACAGTTTCCTGCGCTTTAGGCGGGATAACAACACATACTGGTTCTTTCCCTTTGATAAAGCGAACCGTATGTGGTAAATGGACAATATAGCTATGGGCCCTCCTAGAAATTCAAATTGCACGGACACACGACGAATTAGAGTTTTTTATGGGCATCGGTCGATTATATGCACAATTCACCATTTATGTAATAAAAACCATTTGCCAAAAAACGAAACGGTTTCATGTGAAAATCCATCCTGGTCGCTGTCTCTCGTCTGTTCATGATTTACTGACATATTTTTCGGTATCGACGGTTGGGTGTCTGGGAAAAAAGGCCGTTGCATAATAATAGTCGTGCTGTATTCTGTTTTTCGTGCGTCGCATTTTCGTTTTCGTTCAAATCCATTCGAATAAACTCTCGCTTAATAAACGTTTACGTTACCGCCACCGCTCACTTGCTGAGTATCAACATCACTTTTCAAATGACTCATTTCACTTGCACTCGACGAACAAAACGCTGAATTCGATATATTGGTTGGTTAAATCGTTTCTCGCGAAAAATTATTGTCATTTACCACCATATTCATTTTCAGAATGAGCTTCGCTAATAAAATCTCCCGCTGATTTTTCTCACTATTCATTGCATCTCGTCCAGCTGTGCGTTCTGCCTGAGAAAAAAGTTCACTTATAAATTATCTCAATTATTAATCCAATTCGCTGCTGATGTCGAATGTGAACAAGAAAAAAATTGAACTCTTTCAATATGATGAATGAAACTGTGCAAGCAAAAAAAGGCGGGTTGAAAAGAGAATTTTAAGTAGCATTTTTTGTGTACCGTCATTAATCTCTTCAATTCGACTGAATTAATTCTGGCGTCGCTAGAGCGATATATCTCGTTTACTACGTTGAAATTGACACTTGAAATGTGAGAGCATTAAAATGAAATTGTTAGCAAGTGCGGTGCTGCTGTAAAGTAAAGCGGCTTAACGAAAAAAATTCAATACACACCATTCCATTTCCGTTTAGTTGTTTGTCTTGAACGTCAAAATATTTGTACTGATTTTGTAAACAGTGAAACAAATCAAATCGTGTTTGTGTGTGATCTGTTTGCAAGCCACTTGCTGTTTAATTGATCAGATTACAAACAATTATCTTGTTGTTGTTTCTTGCCTCTCTTTTCGATTCCAAGGTGCTTTGAAAGCGGTTTCATCGGCGGTGAAATAAAAACAACCTATGCAATTTAAAGTATCTGTTAAACAGAGTTTAACATTTCATTTACTCATTTAATTACTAAAATCAAGAGCATTAATGCTTGAATTAAGGATTAAATTATACATTTAATTGTGGTTTTGATGTTCGATATGAAATAGTTATAGCAACACATTTTCTGTGTTAACACATTATTGTTGCCATTATGCTCGCTTTTTTCTCGATTTCGTGAAAGAAAAAATAACGATGAAAAATGGTTTTAATAAGCCTGCACGTATTGCATGATGAATATATTTAACGTGTAAGCTTGTGCTTCAAGCAATCACTGTGCCTATATATTAAATTATGATGAAGTTTAATTGATTTTGAAAAAAATGATGTTCTGTTTGTCGAAATTGTTATCGAAATGAGAACAAATTGAATCTTTATTTATTTGCTGAATTAATTAAACAACGCGATGTTTTCAAATGATTCACTCAATAATATTATCATATCAATTTTCAGTCCCATACTGAGATGGTAGCTGCAATTCTTGTCTGATTTGTATAAAGAAATGATTTGGTGTGGGAATCGTCGATAGTATTTAACATTTTTTCTTTCGGAAAATGTGCATCAGTTTTGGGATTTAAAAATTTGTTATATAATCTTATTATGTTGAGTCATAACATGAATCCAACTTTTTATTATCTTGTGGGAGGGAGAAGTTGATTAAAAACTTGCCAACCCCAAATTTGAAATCGATCATCTATAAAAAGTTGAACGTGTGTCTATAAAAAGACTGAATCGCTATAAAAAAAATGACCGTGCCAGTTTCGGCTTTTTCAAGTTCAATTTTACAAACGGCAACGATAGCAAACATCCACTTGAATCGAAAGAAACAACTCAATTGTGAACGAAGTGCTCAGTTCAGAAAAGCACTCAAGCTATTTACAAGAGATAAAATTGGAAAAACCGATGAGAAAACTCCTGCATGTAGGCAATTCGTTATTCCCGGGCAAAGAGTCAGAATCAACTCAAAAACTCAACCGTACCACTTAAAGTGCAGTTATTGTGCAAAAGTTTCCAGTTTATTGATCTAACTTTTCCTATAGCCATAAATAGCGGTTCATAGTTTTTCCCATAGCAAAGTAAAAGTGTTATAGCAACACAGTAGCAGCAGCAGCAGCAGCAAAAAACGAGTGAATTAAAAACTTTTGCTTTCAACAATACAAAATTTATGATGATTTGTTTCCCCGTTTATTTGTGCGACGTAAAAAAGCCACCGTTCAATGCGAGAAAAATTGGATTTAATCAAGAAAGAAAAAAAGCATTCCAGTGATTTGAGTACGTGTGAACGGGGCGATTAAATGATTAGAAAACCGTTTTGGTTGGCATTTTATCGCACCATTGATACACACAGCAACAAGAAGTGTTATGCACAATTGCGGCGGACCCAAGCATTTTTGCCAATTTCGGCTTAACCGCGTTTCTTTTGTGCAGCGCACACACACAAAGTGTGTTAAAAGCCGAAGAAAAGAAGGCGATAAAATTGATACAATGGGCAAAGAGGGAGAGAACGTGCAAGCAGCGAACAATTGTTGTTGAAAGATAAATTTATGTGTGTGACTTTTATGATACTTAATTTTGTTTGTTTACAATTAACAAGCTAATTTATTGAACAGTGCACACTGCACACACACATTTACACTCGGTGAGCGCGGCGCGAGATGGATTATGCATTGAACAATTGTTCCAAAATGACTCTTTGATCTCAGAATTGTTTCAATGGTGCATGCAGTTGAACTTAACACCGATCATAATCCCTTGATTCAATTTATGGTTAAGCTATTTTTATGGGTTTGTTAACACACATCGCTTTGTTGTTGTTGCTGTTACTGCTGCTGCTGCTGATTTGTCTCGCCGATGAAAATGCCACGTTTAATTATGAGCTGACGAGAAATGCCGTTCAATTGACATGAAAAGTGAAAATGTCGCGCGCGTTTAGCTTAGTTCCCTACCATTTCTGCGTTATCAATATAACCTGGTCAGTTTTTGTTATGCGGCTTATCAGATTAGACACGCCACCAAATGGAAAATTATTATTATTGATTTATGTTTAGCCGGTAATATGTGTGGATAGTGCTCGTTATGTTCACTATCACTGATTTGTTACACAATCAGTGCATTGTTTGACCTTAATCTCGAAATTTATTGTCTCCACCGCAGAACAATGTACGTTCACATACGTAGCTATTATCCGGCCCGATGCCGATCTCAAAAATAGCGGTGAAAAATGTAATAAATAATCAGGAAGCAGTAATTACCGTACCATGAACAACATTTTTCGTGTGTGTGTGTGTGTGTGTGTGGGAGAGAGAGATTTGCCGTAATGTGTGCGATTCTTATCACCGAAAACAGCTGTTTCCTCCGTTTGGAAACAACCTTTTTCTATCTCCATACAAAACAAAATTTTCATTCGTGCCGCAGAATCATTAGAATAAATTATTTTCCGTTGAGAGTTTTGTGCAAAGTCAATTAATGTGCAAAATGAAACTGCACCGTTCATAAATTCAAGCAAACATACACACATACACAGGGTCGCGCTATCATGATAACACATTCATGCTTGACGGCTTTTCCGCTATAACCAGCTAACTGATTGAAAAAAAAAAAGTTTCTTTTAAAATCATTTTCAACCGGTGATGAAAAAAACACGCAGAACAGAAGCATCATTAAAATATATAACGTGATTTTGCCGCTTTTTTCTCCTTCATACAATGTAAATTCGTACGCAATTTGCATACTCATAACTCAAAGAAAAACAATAAGCAAGTGAATCGACGATTCTCATTTTTTCCTCTCTTTTTTTTTCTACAATTGCAGGTCATTTTCTGTTGATCGCACGTGAGGAAGGTCATGGTACTTTAGGTAAAATAAAGTATCACTCTATAGACTAAATTACTGTCATTGGCAAATTCTTGGCATTGTCACTGTCACCGCCACCGTCCAGTAACGGCTGTGAGATTTTTATCAACAAACAACAAACACATCAACGACGACGAAACGAAAAATAACAAAAACATGATCGAAGTGCCATCACCAGCTGATAAAAATTGCAATGTGTTGGCCGTGCAGGCATACACTGGACTACATTTGGAAGCACCAACACGGGATGTGGTAAGTGCCATTGAAATATTTTGTCCAAAAATGCTGTTTTTAAATTACGACCATTCCGTTTGAATAATAAACACCGCAAAAATATTTCAATTTTAATTATGAATCGTTGCTGGTTTTTTCTGCATACGTCTATGTTGGACACTCTAACATCCATACGTACAGCGTCCGAGCAGTAGGTAACAATAATTAACACGCTGCCGCGGTAGAAGGTAAAAAAATCCGATGAATTTATGTTTGAATTTCCATTTGAACTTTGTGGCCACCGAAAAAGCAGAAAAACAATTTTTACAGTTCGCGCGCGCATATTTATGCAGCGATGTAATTGATAAACCAAAACCCACATTCACCGCAAAAATGTTGGCTGGTTCATTTATTCAAACGAATGGTCGTGGTGTATATAAAAATGCACTCTTTTTTTTCTTCTCTTGCTTGAGTAAAAGATATAAATGGTTCTGTGGTTGCTGCTGCTGTTGCTGATGCCGTTGCTGCTGTTTTTAATGACAGAAGAGAAGGAACGTTCATCGACAGACTTATTCATTAGCGTTGTTTATTGTTCGCGAATGCAAATCTTTCAAATATGCATAAGAACGGTTTTTTTGCGTTTTCACAAAACCGATTTATATGCATGTTTTTCCAATACATAAATTTTAAGCAATTTGATCTTGCGGACAGGTTATCGCTACGTGCAAAGCCAAAATGCCAAAAAATACCATAGTACTTTGCATATAGGTTGTTTGCTTTTTTTTTCTCTAAAAATCCAATAAAATGGATCGACAAAAAAATGCGCGACTATTTCATCGGCAGAGACTTTGTTTATGGTTTCATGTACAACATATGTTCCAGCATAAATACAGCTCATAATATACATCGAAATACCGACCAAATCGTTTATTTGAATTTATTGTAATTTAATCACGTACGTGGTGATTTGGTATTCATTTTTTCTCTCTTCTATTGACTGTGTATGATCTTTTTTGAGACTTGTGTGTAATGAAAAATGTGTGCATGCATTGTAAATGATTCGTAAGCCATTTATCTGTAATCTTTGTTTTATTTGAGTCTCGGTGTGTGTATGTGTGCATTAAATGTGTTTTTTTTAGCGAAACGGAACAGAAATTAGAAAAATTGGCCCGATGAAAAAAATATACACTTATCGACCGTCTCGTCTGGAAACATTTCAAGCATTTTCATTTCGGAACAGCACATTTCAGTGTTTGTGTGTGCATTGCGCGTAATTATTGTTCGGTGCATGTCTTTCTCATAGACAGCCATGGTTTCGTTCACAAGTTTACTTGATTTTTGATTAGCCGTCTGTTGCCATTTCGTTCTATTTTTGTTTTTTTTTTTGCTTTGAAAATGTAGCGAACTATGGAAAATTGCATCGCTGGTGCGCGCGCGCACACACTAACTACCATGCACTCGTTTATCTGATGGAAAAATGAAAAATCGTAAAACTCACAACACAACACATACTATCACCATTTAGCCAAGCACCATTTTTATAAATGGTAATGTTATATGCGTGCTCGCGCCATATCACATTTAATCGTTATTTATTATATTGCTGATTTTCTGCTAATATTTTCTGTAAAATATCGAGCGAGAAAAAAACATTGTTTATATACGTGAAAGCGTCCGATTCCCCACAACAGAACTGATGCACATTCAAACACTCATATACACAGGTTGGTGGTTTTGCTGGTCGATCTCACCATTTCATACCGTTTTTCTATTGTTCAGTTGCCTGAAAGCCGTACGAGTCAGATGCAATAGATAAAATGGTGTAATTGCGATATATTTTTGCTGTTGTTGTTGTGGTTGCTCCGTATATTCCACATGCTGCGCTGCGTGGCCTCGTAAATGGAAATTCTTTGCAAAACAGCTTCGATGGGAAAAAAGTTTGACTAGCGCGAAGCTCCGTATTTGGAGTGTTATACGTCTGGCGCATCGATTAAACGGAGCCACAAGTAATAACAACATCGACGACAGCAATTATCGTCGATTTGTTAATTTCAAATCGATCGCAATGCTTGACTCTCTTTTTGCGTTGTTTTTCTTTTGCCATATTTTCCGGGGAAAAAATTCAATTCATTTTTTTTTTCGAAAATACAGAAATAAGATTAATTGCTTTGTGATTTTGTGTACAAAGCGCCTTTTAACGTATCGGTACATTGACCATGAACTATTTCTACACGAATTTCAACAGCGAAATTTTTTTTTTGAAAGAAAACATTCGTTACTTTTGAGTGGCTTGAGTTTTAGCTCCTCATTTGAGTGCATTGACACTCTGGGTATAACAACCATTTTACTTTGGGTATATGCTGAGGAGTTTCGACTACAGACTCGGTATAGAGTAAGTCAATAGTTCATTAAGTCACTTAACAGCTCGATAGTTCTCCATTATTTCGTTAGTGACGCTAGGTGTGTGTGTGTGTGTGTGTATTTCGTGCGTTCCGGCACTTGTTCACTATTGATAATTGTTTGCTTTTAACAATGTGGAAATTTGTAGAATTCCATTGCAATTCGAACAACGAAAATAATTTGGCCCAATTTCACACAATTTTTCTGTTTTTATTGAACGTGCACGAAATGTGCGCGCTAACGACATTCGATTGTGAAATTGGCTGTCAATAAATTTAAAGCGAAAGAAAACTGCTAAATTTGGCACAACACAAAACTGTGCTGCAGATTTGAAATGGCGCCACGGAAAAACCGCACGAAATTGCATCGAAATAATAAGTTTAGTATGTCTATATGGCATCGAACATGAAAATTCGAATTTTGTGCGATTATTGTGTAATTGATTGGTTTAGTTCAGCTATTGTCTCCTTCATTTGATTCAGTTAATGAATGCCTAAATGAATGAACCGAGGTAAAAAAAGGAGAATGAGAATTGTGTCAATATTGATTTGATTTATTTGAACGGCAACAGCGACGATGACGACGACGACAACAACAACAGTGGTTTGTAGAAATACTCAATTAAAACCGCACCTAACATTGTGATTACCGACAATAACAAAACGATAATGGATTCTTTCATGCTTTCATTACAGACGAAAAGACACGAGTCTTTCTTGGGAATTGGTTTGAGCTTTTTTTTCGTCTACCAACCAATTTAGCGAGTAAAGTGCACCTAAAGTATCGAATATAATGTCTGTAATGCTAATGTCTGTACGGTGTGTGTTTGTGTTGTTATATTTGGCGTTTTAGTGCTATTATGACGTAAACCTACATGACGACGAAGAATTGAATTTGTCGAGTCGAGTTCGAGAGAGCACGTCAAACCGGCTTGTTGTGCTGTGTGTATTCGCTTCTGGAATCCATAAGCACAACGTGCACACCGATCACCGGTTAAAACAGTTGGATAGAATTCCCACAGCTCAAATAGGCGATAAACATGACATATACTGGCAAATCCAATCAAAGAGCACAAAACACATAACGACCGCAAAAGCCTTCCATGAAATGTACATTTCAATCAGACAATAAAGTATGAAATGGAACTGAGAGCGAATGAACAAGCGAGAAACATTGTGTCCCGTCGCGTTGCCATGCACACAAACTCACGAAAATCTGGTATGCGTGTGAATCGATAATTCGGTTAAATTTGCGCTGGTATGCGCACAATTACCTGGCACAAATTCAATTCATTCACGCAAACTGCATCATGAATGTCAAAGCGAGAAATGTGTGCAAAATCGCCACAGTCGACGTCAATGGAAACTGATTGATCGTTTGTTCAAAAATCGAAACGTTAGCATTAGTTGTGCCACGATATTTGTTTTTTTTTCTCTTCTGATTCGCCAATTTTCATCCACACCTTTATAGCTTGCTTATGAAGTGAATCTGTCAAATTGATTACGAAAATAGCGAATAATCATAGAGAAAAATGGAGAGAAACCAACTGTTTACCGTGTGACGTGTGTACTTATCCAATGGGAAAAAAATGATTTCACAAGAGGCATCCACTGTGTATGTGTGTTGATGGGCTCAGCCAATTCTTTTTGTTTATCTGATTGAAAGTAAATGATATTTTTATTTATTCACATTTAATTGAAATAACACATGTAATCGATCGATATCGTTTTGTTCAACGATGCATTCAATTGAGTTATACTTCTCACTGATTTTCTCGAGAGGCTCCGTTTGTTTGGTGCGCGTCAACGTAATTCAAGCAAGACCAAACCATTAGGGCCAAACAACACACACACACATTTATTAAAAAATCATTACAAAAGAGAGGCGAGCGGCAGTTTGTTGTGTGTTACATACATTGGTAATTGGGGAAAATTGTGATGGATGACACGATAGCCCATCGCCGTATGCAAATTTTCGATGTTGCAATCGAATTCATCGGCCGCAGTAACACAGCACTGTTTTCGTGCATCTTCACCGTGGATGAATTCAATTGATGATTGCATGTACAAAATGCTCTGAGTCAGACCCAGCCAAGTGAGCTGCACCTCACAAAAACTGTTATCAAATATGCATGTGTTTCTGTCCTCCTGTCGCTCGTTGCGCTTTTTTGGAAGGGCTTTGAATGCAATTGTTGCTCTTTAGAAAAACCGCATTAATCCATGCAACACAGAAAGAGAGACAGGGAGAGAGAGCAAGATATGCCCAATTCGATTACGACATTTTGCATGCACGTTTTGTAAGCGATACATACAACGGAATTCCAAACGAAGCCAAATTAACTCGATCACGACGCATTAAGAGGGCTCTCTGGAACATTGTTCGTTGTTTGGCGTGATGAATGTTACGAGTCATAAAGCACCTAGGACAACTGCCACTAAGTTGCTGCTGCTGCTGCTCTTTACCCGGCCGTACAATGGAGCATCGTAATGTGTGTGTGTGTACTTTACCGTGAGCCGTGCATCTGTTTCCACTTAGCAAATGTTCGTCGTCGGCAAAATGGGCAACAAGAAGCTTAACTTGCTCTTTCTCTGGCATCGGTGAACTGGGCGGTCGAAGAGGAAATGCGCGTGTAAAACAAA